AAAGAACAATAGTCTATCTATTAATGAATTTTAGGGAACTGAATTTTAGGAAAAAGCTATATTCTAATGAGCCACATTAATGTGTCTCAAGTCAATTAAGAAAATTAAAACAATTAAAAAAATCTGTGAATCAAACAGATCCTATACATTCATGGTCTTCTTCCTCCCCTCCTAATATCACAGCTGAGGAATCCTCATTTATAACATCCAGGAAGAAGTCAGCAGGGTTGTTGTGGGGCTCATGGTGATAACCTACAAAAGACAGGAATCCAAGAGCACAGTCCTAAATGTCTTAGGAAACACGGATGACTCAGTAAGGGAGGCTAGGGAAGACAGAATCCAATGATTTCTTAATCCTGCTCTTTTATCCTCACTGATTTACCCTTTCCTCATGTATATGCTCACAAAATATTGCAATAATCTGTTTCCCGCCACTATATATGTGTGCTCATGTGTACCACACATGAACATCTAACATTAGTCCTCACATATTATAAATCATGAATCCCAAACCAGCTGTTACTATGCTCTGAGGCTTTCAGTACTTCATAAACCTAAATCCAGGTCTGGGGTTGGGGTATCAACTGCCCAGGTGCACTGTGCTTTCTGAGTTAACGTAGGAAACTGGAAGAGCAGTGTGTGGGAAAACATTCACTGCTTCTCTGCCTATGAAGTTCAGAGATACAAATATCATCTGTCATGTTGCCATAATTCCAAATAGAGAATAAATCCTCAGAGTGGCAACACAGCACACGTGAACTTTGGCATCAACTTTCTGTGTCACATTTGAACTTGGCCTAAATTTTGACTGGGCTATCCAGACTATCCAGACTCAGAAATGCTTATATATTTTAAAATGAAAAAATTAAGAAAAAAGAAATTAAGAGACTTAGTGAATATTTAAATCTGTATTTAGAGTCGTGTAGAATCATCTATAAATATATCCATATTTCTCTAAGGTGACACAGATTTCATCAACCATTAAAAAAATAATCTCATCGTCCAATCTAATATAGAAACACCAGTCTAAAAATATGAGCCTTATGTCAAACTTAAGGCTAGCACACATTCATAGCCTAAGTCTGAAGTATGAGGCTACTACAAAGTTAAGTAGCACCTCCACAAACCTACAGAGCAAGATCACATACTAGAGGAAACGAGAAACCACCACCTGTTACATGGGCAAGAGTGCAATGATCCTGGGCCTTTCCCAGACTGTTCAAGCAATGGAATACCTGGGCCTGAGTCTACCATGTTAGTTATGAAGTCATCATAACTGGGAAGCAGAGCACACATGGCCCAGAAAAAGCACTCAAACACAGGCATGCATACTCAGACAGGACAGAAAAATAAACCTAAGTAACAAGCAAGTCCTGCAAAATTAATCAAAGTTCTGGCAACAAACTAACCAAAGGTATTTTAGAGTGTAGAAACCTGAGTAAGTCTGCACAGGATAGAACAGTATTCCAGTGAGCCCCGTTCTCTTTCCGGATCCTGTGGATGAAGGAGCTGCCGCATGGAAACGTAACCATACCTGCTAATTTGAAGTACTCCAAAGCGTCCTGTGCAGGCCCATGAAACAGGACTTTTCCTTTGGCCACTAAGGTGAGGCTATCAAAACGTCTGAAGATGGAATACTGAGGCTGATTAATGGAGAAGATGATCGTTCTTCCCTGCCTAGACATCCTAAGTAGAAAGAGGGAAAATAATGGGTCACGGAACATCCGAACCTGAAACATCTTGGCAAAATTATTTAGTCTTGACATCATCTACTGTTCCCAGTTCAACCTGAATGCAAAATACTTATTCTGCCATTATCTACTGTTGACAGTTCAACTTGAATTTTCCTTATAACCACCTCACCTCAGTTGCATTACACTTGATAGACAAACTACCTCAAGGCTCTTATTTAAAAGACCTGCACTTAAAGTATTGCACATTATCCCCTAGAATGTTTATTGTATATGCAGATTTCTGGTCAGTCTTCTCAGAGTTAGAGTTCTCAGGAATAAGTACTGGGAGTCAGATCAGTAACAGGCAGCCTAGGTGACCTGAAAGTATACTCACATTTGAGAAAACTTATGTAAAATTAAATATGAAACAATGATGGCATGGCCAGTCCCTTTGATCTCTCTGGAGCCTCAGGAATTGATTTCATTGTTCTGATAATATGATTAACATTACAACCACTTGGCTATCTTTGCTAAATGCTTCAGAGATAATTTCATTTCAATTTTAGCAATATTGCCATAAGACAGTTCTAACAGTATAATTTCCTAAAGCTTGTAAGGTCAACCAATCAGTCAAAGGTGTCACAGTAAAGAGCAAGACTGGGATTTGAAGCTAGGGAGTTCTAATTCCACAGCAGAAATCTCCCCCCCCCCAAATAAAACCTAAGACAAATTAAGTTCTATGTCATAGGAGTTATACTGTATAGTAGGAGAACTAGGGGCAAAATACAGTGTTTAAAAGTGTTATTAAAACGTTTTTGAGGCTGGGCATGGTGGCACATGCCTTTCATTCCAACTCTGGGAGGCAGAAACGGGTGTACCTCTGTGATATTCAGTCCAGCTTAACCTAGATAGTTAGTTCCAGGTCAGCTGGGGCTACAGGGAGATACTGTCTCAAACAAATGAATAAACAAACAAACATTTTTGGGTCTGCAGTGATAGCTCAGGAGGTACGAACCCTCATTCCTCTTCCAGGGGACCCAGATTCCATTCCTTGCACCCATATGGTGGCTAACAACTGTCTACAGCTCCAGTTTTATGGGACCCAAGGTTCTGTTCTGGCCTCTATGGGTAGTGCACAACATGGGTGCACTTACATACATGCAGGCAAAACAATCATAAATAAAAATACCATTTAAATTTTTAAAAGATGATAAAAACTGGGCATGATGGACCATCCCTGTAAGTCTAGCACTTAGGACTTGGAGGCATGGAGATCAGGAGTTCAAATCCCACCTGAGTTGCATGAGATACTCTTTCCAAAAGACAAACAAAACAACCTTAACAAACAAGCAAACAAAAAGAAATACAAAGACAGTGAGTGAGAGATCTGGACATGGTGATGCCTTTCAAAGGTGGGGGTAGGAAGATGAAGAGACTGAGATCAGCCTGGGCCACACAGTGAAATAAGAACGACAAAAATATGAGGTGACTTCAAGGAAAGCATTTTATAAACCTATACTCTGAGCTAGGGGTGTGTCCCAAGAAAATCAGGCCAGAAGATGAATAATTTCAATACAGCTTAAAACAGACATACAAATGTGCAACCTAGTGTGAAGAGAATACAGAGTAACAAATGCTAAAAAGACAAAGAAGCAGCTGAACGAAATGACATAAAAAGGTCTAGCCAAGCAACTACAGGAAGCTCACTACTACACAGAAAGGA